TCAAGCCAATGTCTGCACCTGTTCACCTTTACCTTACATTTACTGCTTCCCACCATTAACCTGTTTGTGTACAGCTGCCTTTTGGTATCTGAGGGATGTCGACTCTAGGACTCCCTCACCTTGCCCATACTAGCACCCCAGGATGTTCAAATTCCTTGGGTAAAACAGCATAAGATTTACATACAACCTATGTACCTTCTCTCATGTACTTTTACTCTAGATTACTTATAATGCCTAAAACAGTGTCAGTAGTATGTAAAGGGTTACATTATTGAAGAATTAGTGGTACCATGATAAGAAAAAAAATCTGTGTGCTCTCAATACAGAATCAACCATCATAAGCCTCACTAAATATTATATGATCCTACATTGGTGGATTCCACAGATACAGGGACCCAAATGTATGTGTGGATATAAATCAATATCTTCTTAGTAAATTCATGACTATAATCTGTTTCAATCTTTTCAAGAATGACCTATTCTTTTCTGGTCAGCAAAGGCTGTCTTTGCTTAAGATTCGTTTGCAATATGAAGTCTTTTTCCAATCAAAGTGAATTTCTCTGGACTTTCCTTTCCTCATCTGCAAAATGGCACATACATTGAGGGGAAAGTTAGTAGGGAATCTAACTAAACAAGCATTGCTTTCTTGTAGGAAGGTTGTGGGGCAGCGGCATGACTCCCTCTGCTCCTGGGCTCATTAGGAAGAGCCCTGTCTTATTCTCCGTCTTCTCAGGAATTCTGAAAGTATGCACGTGCTGGTACTTGCTTTAGGACTCTTAAATGAAAATGCACTTGCTAAACATGAAACAGAAATCTACAGATGTGGGATAAAAGAAGTGTAGAATCATACACAATTGGAGACCAGGCAAGGGAGCATCTCACTCTGCTGTGGGGTGAGGGTGAAGTTTTCATTGACAAGGTGACATTTGCAGAATAGCAGAGACGATGAGGAAAGTTCCTGCAGGTATGGCTTGGTGTCTTTGGGTATCAGAGCCCACTTGAGTGCTAAGTAGAGATGAGTGCTCAATGAATGGTTTTCAGATGAATCCTATGAACCCCTAAAATACATTTACTACTTGTTACTCAATTTCTGTAAGTGTTATAAAGGGAAAACTATCTAAATAAAAAGGCCCCTACTTCCTTTTCCAGGATATGAATGAATTTTAAACTGGTGTTGAAAAATAGCCAAGCTACTGAGTGCAAAGCATTAAAACTTCAATTTGAGACTCAGTCACCAGAGGCATTAATTATGTCAAGGTAACATGTTATTGGACAGAGGGGACGTCATCTAGAAGTCCTCCTGTGGACTAGGTGAAGCAGAGAGAAGTGTGTATCCAAAATTTGGGGTCTCTGTCTGCCTGGTGGATACTAGTGGGGAACACTTGTATATCCCATTTATTATAGGAGATCATTGTTGTCCCAAATAAAAACATTCATCATTTTAAATCTCAGACTCCTCACATCTCTGGAACCTTTTAAGAGAAACAAACCGACCCATACAGAACACATACATTCATCTATAAATGTTACGAATCTTTGTTTCTTCTTGATTTGCTCTGCCTGTTTACACCGTAGTATTAATAAATGCAGCATTTTAATGAGCTTTGACTGACTTATCTTCGGAGAGCTGGTGCAGGGTGTTCCTCAGAGATGCATAACTGAAGTTCTGTTTCTGGAGGGGAGTCTCTTCCTCATTAGCTGGGACAGCTCAGAGCATGAGGACTCAGGAGGCTGGGAGCCACAGCATGAGGCCACCTGTGCTTCTGCAGGAGCAGGGCCCATCTCCGCCCTGCTTTGGAATAAACCCAGGGCTTTCATTAAAAATGTCAGACGTGCTCCCCAGAGCAAGTGCTGATGGCATGTCATGTTGGTGCCTCCAGAGGAGCAGCGCTGACACCTACTAATAGTCTGACAAATGGTTAAGTAGCTGTTTGTGCTTGGGTTGAGGAATCAAGGATGCCATACCTAAGCACTGAGCCTAGTGCATATGTTCTCCTCCACATGCACAGTTGGCAAAGAGGATATATGTTCTATGTGGGCACCCTCCTGCTCATTTAACCCCAACCCCATTCTCTGCAGAATACATTGCCAGAGTAACCTGCTTTGAACTAAGCAAGACTCTGTGGATGAGGGTGGACTTTGATATGACTTTAATTTTGACTGCCTGGCATCTAAAACCCACTGTGTCTTTCGGATGCTTCCCACTGTATGTTTTAGAGAAGAGGTCAGAGACCAGTTTCATTCATAGAAGGTGAAAAGCCAGTCTTCCCTTCCTGAGCCCTGCCAAGTAGGCTATGGGCACTTGACCAGGCAAGAGAGTCTTAGGAGGCCTTTAATCTGCATCAAGTGAGGAAAAGAAGCAGGAGAAGAGAATTCATAGGTGGAGCAGCCACAGTCAAGGAGCAGGAACAGGCATGCTCCTGGGGGCCAGGATTCTGGAGAAGCAAAGGCCACATCAGATTTTTTCCGGGATGGAATAGTGGCTGGGCTTCTCGTGTATCAGCACTCTGTCTGGAAGTGGTTTTGCAAGCCAGCTTTTGTGGGGATTTTGAGACCTATTTGATGTTATTTTACTATTTTGATATCATTTAAGTATGAGTAAATTATTTTAATGATCCCTTCCTTCAGGAAAATACTAGAGGTGAGCTGCATAAGAAAAAGATCTTTTCCACTGTTTGCAGTTGAGAATCCTAACTTGTCCATTTGTGTCCATGGCTTGATCATTATCTAGTGGTCACTGCGGTAATGGCCTCGACTTAAAAGCTTTGGCCAGGCATCTACGTGTCAGGACCATGAGTCAGTGGAATGCAATCTCCTGTTTAACACTGACCCTCACCCATGTGTCTGTTCTTTGTCTCCTCCTTTACTTTTTTTTTCTTTTAATGTCATCCTCATGCAGACTCCTGCATATGTTGGCTTCTCTATTGATGTGTGGTACCTCATCGCTCCTACTTATTATGTGAATTAGATGTAGGTTCAGTGACCTGACTGGTAGGCCAGTGGGTCAAGAGGCAGGAGCACTCTCTGCATTAGGCCCTGGCCCGGGACTCCTTGGCCATTTGTTGAAGAGGCGCCTGTCCTTATGCCCCCAATTAATTTAGCACACACTGCTTTGTAAAGCGCCAGTGCACAGCAGAAGCAGGCAATGTGTTAATGTCCCATGGACATTATGGAGCCATTCATTCTTGCCCTGACAGTTCCAATTCAGGATCCCTCTGCCAAATCCAACAAAAGGGAACTTTTACTCACTGACTCTGAATTTAACTTTGGATATGGAATTTTTATTTTGTGTGTGTATTTTGGAGAAAGTAGGAGATAGGGTGGAAAAAGAAGACTCGGGATAGGAACAGTAAGGAATGTACTTAAGTTTTTAGTTGAAAATATGACCTCTGATATTATTATTTTATTGTGTTAAACTCTTGAAGGTTTCTTAGCAACAAAACTATACTCTGTGTAGTCTCAGTACATGGTGAGCACACAGGATCACGTGTGCTGATGGGTGCTCACTCAAAACAGACTTTGAATCCCTGAAGCCCATTTTTGTACTTCTCTGCACATCTCCTTACAGCTATATAGAAGCCTGTAGATTTCCATAGGCCTCCAATTATTGAAGAATAACTGTTCTTATTGACAAGTCAGAAAATGTAAGAAGGAACCGGAGATGAGCTGCAACATTTTGATTTTTGTTTTAATACACAAAGAATGATAATGCCATAATATACTGTGATATTTTGATACATATATATGTAATATAATAATTAAGTCATAGTATTTAGCATATTTATAACCTCACATTTATCAGTTCTTCATTTTTTTACAGAGAAGATTCACAATCCTTTCTTCTTGGCATTTTCAAATATTGAATGCACTATAGTTAACCATTGTCAACCTGCTGTGAATAGAAAACCAAAATGTATTCCTCTGACTGTAACTTTGTATAGTCTCTCACTTCCTTGTCTCCCCTATCCCCTCCCTGGCTGCTCTTAGTTGCAATTCTACCCTCTGCTTCTGTGTGAACTGTTTCTTTAGATTCCACTTATGAGCAGGATAGTGAAGTATTTAGCTTTCTGGGCATGACTTCTTTTACTTCATGTCCCCCAGGTTCATCCATGTTGCTGCAAATGATAAGATCTCACCTTTATTTGCAGTGGAATATAGAAAATGTATATATACCATTTCCTTTATCCACTCATCCATTCCTGGATGTTCAGTTCATTCCTTATCTTGACTATTGTTAACACTGCTGAAATAACATGGGAGGGCAGATATTTCCTCAACACACAGATTTCATTCCCACTTTGGATGTTCAGGTGATAGTGGGATTGCTGAGTCATATGGGAGATTTACCTTTTAATGACTCAAGGAAAATCAACCTTATATTTCATAATGATTGTACAGCACTAATTTACACTCACATCAGCACTGAGTAAGAGTTCCCTTTTCTCAACATCCAAATGTCATTAATTTTCTCTTGACTTCAGGACAGCAACCATCCTAACAGGGGTGAGATGACAGCTCATACTGACTTTTGTTTGCATTTCCTTGATGAGTAATATTGAATATTTTTTCCCTCATATACTCATTGACTATTTACCTATATCTTCTTTTGAAAAATGTCTTTTCAGGTCTTCTGTTCATTTAACAAATTAAATGATGATGATGATGATAACTATTATGAAATGAACACTCTCACAGGCCAAACTAGTAGACCCCCCTGTGAGGCCTGTGTGATTATTCATTTTCAAAGTGATATGTGGTTGGGGATAAGAATTGCATACCAGCCCCAGTCCATTAAGATACTAAAGGTCAAACGTGTACACCCCACCAACCTCCTCAATTCCCATATAGAATCTCCACAGCCTTGCTGGAAAAGGAGTTTCAACTTCATCTTTCAGCAAACGCAAGTTTATTGGTGTAAAAGTGCATGGCTTTTGTTCACTTTTCTTTTTACCCTTTTGAGAGTCATTTGTCTTTAAGCAATGTCTGTGTTCTCTTTTCAGGGAAGAGCGATCCTTTTTGCTTGTTGGAGTTAGGCAATGATCGACTTCAGACACATACCATTTACAAAAACCTCAACCCCGAATGGAACAAAGTTTTTACATTGTAAGTGCTTTAGCCTCTGGAATATAGAGGAGCAGCTTTAACTTACAGAGCAATTATCTCTGATATGTTTGGGGCAGGCTGGGTCTCTTGAGTGGAACTTTCTGTCCATTTTTATGTGCAAAGAGTGAATTTTATTGTTTTTTTCCCTTCTGAAAACCTTTTATCCTTTCATTTTATGGAGTGTGATGTTAATAATAGAAGAGATCTTTTGCAACTGCAAGGAAATGTTATAGGAGACACTGGTAAAGTAGTCTTTTAGTGACTAAATTAATCTGTGGGTAGATGGAAACATCTGTGGATCTAGAATAATTCATTCCTGGCTTAGGGAAAAATACAAATGGAGCCCTGCCTTAAAATCAAGGAGCTATGTATTAGAACATTATTCTCACGCCTGAAGGCTGTATTCTACCAGAGTCTTTTGGGAAAAACAGATTATTTGTGAGTCCTTGAAGATTTGCAAAGGCTCCCTGTACTCCTATTGATCTGAGTGGTCCACTCCATATCTAAGTGCCAAACTTGGGCATTTGGGGGCGAGATGTTCCCTGGTTAGCTTTATACTTTAAGGCACCTGAAAATCAAGAGGAGGCCCTTCTTGTATTTGAATGACATGATAGTGTTTAACCCTGCGAAGCTGAATAAATGCTCAGTTTGTACTTAAAAGTGAAAAAGCCAAGAATGTTTGTAGCGGAATGCCTGGCAGTAATAGGAAGTTCGCAAGGAACTGTGAGAAATAGATCAACTCTGCTAGACAGGTCTGCCAGTTTCTCAGTGTAAAAGTCTTTTTGTTTCCAAACAATGTACTGATGGTTATGTCTTTATTTGTCATTATCGGTGGTATGTGGCTTCCGGTCAATATTGAAAAATTTTCTAAATATGCCTGGTATTTATTGCCATAGTAGGAGGCTTTCTATGTATCTCAGCAAATATTAATTTTTCCACCTTTTTTCAAAAGATAATTCTTCATTAATATAAAGAAAAAGTTATTTTTACTTCTATAACTTGGTATCTACTTTGAAATCACTTTTCTTTAACCCTCCTCATTCTTTCCCTGCTTTTCTTCTGTTATCTTGTTTCTTTAATCACCCCACCCTTGAGTACCTGTATATATGGGAATGTCAGAGTGAGAAAGTTGGCTTGGTTTTTTCATGTGGATGTCTGACTCTGCTATGATGGAAGGTTTGGGAATAGAGTCAGTTTGATTTAATTTTTGGAATTTAATTAAATGGTAGTTTTATACTCCAAGGACACACAGACTTAATTAGTGAAACAGTGTTTTCAGATCTTCATGGAACAGACTTTTCATGTGTTTTTTATATGTATAATACCTGATATTTCTTGTTTCAGTCCCATTAAAGATATCCATGACGTTTTGGAAGTGACAGTGTTTGATGAAGATGGAGATAAACCCCCCGACTTCCTTGGAAAAGTTGCCATTCCCTTGCTGTCTGTAAGTTTCCTTTGTTAGCTGACAATTTGTGAGTAATTTTATAGTTGATGACTTTTTATGGCCTATGGCTACTTTCTTTCAGTCTGGGCGAAAAAAAATTCCTAGCTGTAGCAGGAATCTGCTGTTTTACGCTTTATCCTTATATGTCAGATGTGAAGAAACACATAGTTTTATGTCAATCCAGAATTGCTTTAATTAACCAAAATGTTCTGACCAGTCTTTCAATGTATGCTCGGTCTTTCCCTTATAGTTTCATTTGGGGCCTTCAATTTGATTTGAAGGAGTATAGACTTATAACTTATTTTTGCTTTTATTGATGAAAAATACACACATATTTACTTTTGTCCTCTTTTTGCATATTTCTTCAAAGTTTAATTGTTGGTAATTGCACATTACTCTCGGTGCTACTCTAGACTATGTTCCCCCAAAGTTCCATGTGTCATTTTAATAGTAATGTTTGTTTTCAGTCTTATAAAGCAAATGGAAGAAAACAAGAGGCCTGTCTTGGAGAAGGAAATGTATTTTGATGGTCCAATTAAAAGATAATGCAGGGTCAGCTTAGAGAACTAGCAGAATGAAGAAAACTACTTCTAGAGTGCAGAAGAAAGAACATCAAAGCATGCAAATAAGAGCATAGGGTGAAAGCTGGGGCGTGATTCCCTTCTTAATGTGCTAGAAGAAAGAATTTGTTTTTCATCCAACCATAAATATAATTTGTCCTAGAGTCATTATGATTTCATCAGCTACTGAGACTTTATTTCTTCCCAAAGACTTATTTTTCCAAAGCTCTTTGTACATTTTTTTCAGCTGAGCACTCTGCAGTTTCGCCCTGCGACGAGTCTAACTCACACTGTTTACAGAACGGGGAATGCTGTACCTCTTAATATCTCTTCATCTGTTTCTGATCGCTTGGTTAATTTCTCCCCAAGTTCTCATATCCCTGATGTTACTCCAAGTGCCTGCGTGGAGCATCTGCTCCCTGATACAGCCGGCTCCTGCCAAATGCTCTGAGCCATCGGAGGCAGGCTGCGGGGCCGCAGAGAGGAGACAGTAATTTGGGATTTCCCCTCTTTTTTATTGAAGCTTTGTCAGTTATTCCTGGAAGAATATGTGTAACAGGAATATGAGGCACACTTTCAAGATGTCTAAAGGGACCATCCCCAAATCTCTCCTTTACAATTCAATTCAGTTCCCCTCCCTCCCTCTGCCCTCTCCCTGTCTCTGTCTGTCTCTCTCCATGTGTCTCTCTCCTCTTGTATATATAGGTAAATCTTAGTAACTTATTTTGTTTCTTGCTAGAACCTCCTTGGGATTGTTTGAAAACCTTCCTCTGTTCTGTTTGTTAAAGTTTTGCATGTTTGTGTTTCTATAGTAGCACCAGTTGACTTAGGTAGAGTTCTTGCCTTCTTCTCTCCTGTCTCCTGCCTCCCTGCTTGGCAGAGCTAAGAAATTGCCCCCAGCTAAATCAGGCCATCTCATCTTTGGCACTATTAACATTTGGAGCCAGGACATTGTTGTTATATGGTGCTTTCCTGCACATTTCAGAACGTCCAGAAGCCCCCTGGTCTTCTCTGCACTAGAAGACAGCAGCACCTGCCGCCACCACTATTGTGACAACCTAAGATGTCCACAGACACTGCCAAACCTGAGTGAAGGGTAAATCACTCCTACTGGAGAACCACTGACCCAAATTAATGCAGTTTTCAAAGCATTCTTTCAAAACACAAGGTGGAATGTTTTGGGAAAGACCTAATTTCAACATAAGCAGCCTCCCCTCTGGTTGGTTTTCAAGTTGATGGTAAAGCTGCCCCAGGGTCTCATAATCATTCATTTATTTATCAAATATTGATCAGGGGTCACTGTGTGCCAGGCACTGGTTTGGGTGGCAATATTCTAACCACAGGGATACTCCCTCCTCCTCAGAATTTATATTGCAGTTTCAAGATGCATAAAGCAAAGCAAAAACAGCATACAGTGTGCAAGATGGTGACAATATAGGCTGGGGAGGGACATAGTTTTCCACGTCTGACCAGTGAGGGCCTCACAGAAAGGGGACAGGTGAGTTCGATTTAAAGAGGTGAAGCAGTCAGCTATGTGGCTATCTGGGGAAAGGTCCATGGAGGAAAGTTTCAAGTTCAGATGCTCTCAGACTATCCAAAAATTCCTAAAAGGGCTGGGCAGTCAGTGTAGGTGGAATGGAGTAACCAGGTGGAGCAGAGCAGACATGGAACAGGAATGGGGCAGGCAGGAGAGACTCCTGAAAGCTTTGGAAAGATGAAAAGTTTGAAGAGCTTTAGCTTTTTCTTAGTATAGAAGCACTGGATGTTGAAAATCAGAGAGTGTTTGATTCATTTTACATCATTCTTTTCATCACCAAAATGAGCTATGGGACATCAAGAAATATATCCCATTGTGAAATACCTCTGCCTTAAAAGATGCATGGCCCATGTTCTTGAGGACTTCTGGTTCCCTGTAAAACTGGCCTGAATAGGATGCTTCAGTGGCCGCTATCCAGTGTGGTGGATTCTGTTCCGATTCACGTTGGATTCCTTGACTGATAATGTGGGAAAGTAATTGAACCTCATATTGGATTGGCACACATTCTACTCGGCATTTGGAGGTCCCCCTGCCACGAGCCTCTCCAGCCTAAAAGACCAGTATGTCACACAGAGATACAAATATGATTTTATTGTTTTACATTTGCATGAGTACATATTTGCAGTACATAATGATTATAGTCATCATGGGGAGTTGTACACGTAGGTAACACATCTTAATTATTTTTACTAACCCTCCCCTCCCCTCTATTCTGGTTCTCTCCATCTCTTGGAATAAATATGATTTTAAAACTCTTATAACCTTCATTATAATTGATAATCTGCATGCTCATTGATTATTTCATTAATTTTTCTATTTTCACATACTTCTAAATTGTGCTTTACAGTACATGTTTTAAAATCTACCTATTTAAATTTAGGTTTTTATGTTAATATCTATTGAGTGCCACTTCATGCACAAGCTCGGTGCTGTGTGCATAACATGTGAAATCATCAGTTTTTTTATAACCTAATGAGGCACAGTTTATTATGCTGACAAGTTAGTTAGGCTTCCACAGTAAGTACTGTTAAGTGAATATTCCACTGGAAGCAAGGATAAGATTTGGTTGTGGGCTGCTGCTGTGGTGCCCATAGCAGGCACATTGTCTTGGTTACTTTTCTCTCGTTGCTGAGACAAAATACCTGACACCAAATTTAAGGAAGGAAAGGTTTATTTAGCTTACAGTTCATGGAGGTTCCAGTCTGAACTTGGCTGGCTTCAAGGCAGAGTGGCACACGGCACAGAGCAACAGTTCATGGTGGTGGAAAGCAGCAAAGGCAATAAGAGCAAAAGGGAGGAGTGGCAGAGAGCAAGGCTCTTTCTTTCCCTTATACTGTATGCAGACTACTTACCCCAGGGACAGGTGTAGCACTCACACCCATAATCCCAGCACTGGACTATGGGTCAATCAAAAATCTGGAAGCCTGCCCCATGACTGCATGAGGATTTGGGGGAACATGCAACACAAACCATAACATACATAAGCTGGGGAGTTGTACACTTTAGTAGGGGACACACAGGTAATGGTCACCGAAGTTCTAAAATAGCAAATGCCATACACAGGAGACAACCAGTGTGATGAGAAAGAGGGTTGGATTTAAGAAGATTTTAAGAAGCAGGGAGCTTGAACTGGCTCAAGAAGGAGGAGGGTGTTTGTTGCGCCCGTGAGTGAGTTGAAGAATGAATGTCCTTGCAAGCAGAGAGCAAAGTGTGAGCAGCGAAGCAGGGGTGTAGGGGGAAGACCATGTTCTGAAACAAGGAGGATCTTGGTGCCTGGATCTTGGTCTTAGTTCCTGGATCTTGGTCTTGGTGCCTGGATCTTGGTCTTGGTGCCTGGATCTTGGTGTTGGTGCCCAGATCTTGGTGTCTGGAGGAACTTGGAGCCTGATGCCCTGAACATGGAGGTGGAGAGTGGGATGGAAGGCAGCTGTGGGAGGGTTGAGGGAGGTTGGATTTATTGTATTAAAAGGAAGCCACTACAAGGTTTTTTTGACATGCAGATGGAGCTATCAGAGTACTTGCCCAGAAAGAAACTTTGAAATGTGAAGCAAATCCCACAGGAATTGTTCAAAATAGCCAGAATTAAGCATCAAAACCCCCCTTAGATTCACACTATGTGCTTCTTCTGGGGACTTATTTTCTCTGTCATTTTGTTTTTTAATATGACAAAGAATCATAAACATTGATTCATGACTTTTTCAGGGCACAGAACCATATACAACAATACATAATTTTATTTTAAAACAAAAAATATTTACAATTAATTTAACAATTGAGTAGAAATAGCTTTGTAAGAATATGTTTCCCTTATTTAAGTCATAGACTAAATTTGATTTACATTTTTGGAGACAATGCAAGTTATATTTTAAATGGTCCAAGAACAAGTATACAGTGTACTTTAACTTTTAATCTTACTCAAAATGTTAATGTGTTCAGTACATTTAAACCTGTTTAAGTAAAGAGGCTATTCTAAATTCACTATATCTTTTTAATCAGGGTTAAAGTGCTAGCTGAATATTGACTCATTTAAAATCACTAAAATAACTCTATTGATTAGTGCTGGTGGACTGTTCAAGAATATATGCATGTTTAAAATTATAGCAGAATTAAAGAATGCAAGCCAATGAGGTATACTTCTATAAATTCTCTCTTCAGTTTTGAAAATAGTTGTTTTTAATGATTCTATAGATATGCAAAAATCTTTAATCAAATACCCATGATTAGGAATTACAGAAAATTGAGATTGGTATATATTACAATCTGAAGGCTTCTAATATTTGCTCATTTTCATATTGTTCCTCTAATTTTTTAATCATTAGCATAGCAAATATACACTGAAAAGCAATAAGTACATTGCTCAGTTTTAAAACACTTTGGGCATAGACATTATCTCCTAGTAATTA